AGACTGCAGTCCAGGCTCAAGGGAAAGGCTATATGCCTGCATGCATGATCTGCACTGCGGCATTCAAACTGCCATTTTCCAGGAAGGCATATCTTAATCTGCAGTTACATGAGGAATTCTAGAAGGCAGTGGGACATGAAGTAGGACGATGAAGGGGACCTCGGTTTCTAGGTACTAATTCCAGAGCATGCCTGGGACTCAAAATCTGCTTCTCAATAAATACCTGCGTAACAGAATCTCCCAGGTGGTTCAGAACAAATCACAGAGAGTTGAGTTTCCCACCCCTGATTCAGGTCAGTCCTGGGGTGTTTGGGTTTTGAAAGCTCTTCTGGGGATTCTACAGGGCAGCCAAGAGTAGAGCCAGGACCTGGCAGTTTTGTGGGAAGACCCTATCTTCACTCTCATCATTTTCACACTGCAAAATGCGTCTTCCACTTCTTTTCTCAAGTGGGAAATACATATCTCACGCCCCGCAGAAATAAGAGTGTTCTTGGGGGCTGTAGTCTGTCTTTAGGTCCAGCTGCCAAGTATTCGAAGGGAATTCTGTGGAAATGACTCCTTCCTCTGAAGACAAGAGGAAACAGCCTGTTCTCCCAAGTCTCTCCTGGAACTGAGCCAGCGATGGTGGGTAACGGCCTTTCCCTTTCCCGTCAGCCCAGCAAAGCTCATTCAGCTCTTCCCTGCCTTCAGAACTGGAAGTCCGCATCATTCTCTTGCTGGTCTAGCTTTTGTGAGTGCCCTTAGCTTTTCTTCCAGGCTCTGGCAATTCAGCATTCCTACCATGCCTGGTAGTGAACAAAGCTTTGGAATTCAGCTCCATGCTATTGGAAACCTTGAAAAATGTTCTCTTTACACTTACAACTCCCTCCCTCCCATCCCTCTTCTCAAAGAAGATTCTCAGTAGCTGTAAATTGGCTCACAGGAGCTATTTCTTTCTTTTTAAAAAAAAATGTGAGTATTCATGCTTGCAAGTGTGTAAGTGCACCTATTTCATGTAGTACCTGCAGGATCCAGAAGAGGGCGTCAGATCCCTTGGAACTGGAGTTATGAATGGTTATTAGCTGCATGTGGGTGCTGGAATTCGAACCTGGGTCCTCTGCAAGAACAGCCAGTGTTCTTAACGACTGAGCTCTCTCTCCAGCCCCAGAAATTTCCATTTCAACCATTCTGAACCAGAAGGAACTGTGGAGTTACCAATTAGCAAATGTTTCTGAACAATTTGCATTTCAATTCTGAAAGCCTGTTGTTCCTTCAATTAGCTAGGGTGTTCTCCTATATTTACGAACTTTTTTGTGGCTATACTAATTACTATTACTGGACTTTAAATTTTTTTCTTTAAGAATTGCATACATGTAACATGATGAAATATGATAAAATCTACCCCCATTCCCCTTCTAAAATTCCCCCATATTTCCCTTAGCATTCACCCTGCAAACTTCATGTCCTTTATCAAAATAATCCACTGAGTCCAGTCAGTGCTGTCCATATGTGCATGGGTGGGGCCATCCACTGGAGCATGAGAAACCTACCAGTGGCCACATCCTCAAAATGGAATGATTCTTCCTCCCCCAGCAACTATCCACCACCAATAGTCCCTCAGTAAAGAGTGGGGCCTGGGTATCATCTACCTCACCTATGCTGTGAATTTGGCTGACTTGATCTTGTGCAGGTCTTGTGCATGTAAGCATGTCCGCTGTGAGTTCATGAATGCAATAACCATGTCTTGTCCAGAAGACAGCCTTTCGAAGCACTGCTTCCTACTCTCTGGTCTTCACATTCTTTGCCTCCTCTTCTGTGATGCTCCCTGAGTTTGGTGGTGGTGAGATTAATGTGGATGCCTCATTTAGGGCTAAACACTTGGTCTCTTCTTCTCAGCACTGTAATCAGTATTAATCTCTACATTAACTGCTGCCCACTGCAAAAAGAAGCAACCAAGACTGTGAGTAGACTATGATTGAGAGAACTGGAAGTTGGAGGTATTTGTTGGACTTTTGAGGCAGGTTCCCATGTAGCCCAGGCTGTCCTCAAACTTGTTTGTACATAGCTGAGAATGGCCTCGATCTTCTGAGTCTCCTGTCCATACTTCCCTAGTGGTGGGATTGCAGGTGTGTGCCACCGCTCCCAGCTTGTGTCTATTATTAAATAAGACTTTATACATAAAGAATTAAATGTCAGGCCACTTCTGTCTTTCTAATCTTGAGGAGACAAGCACATATGCCCTAGAGACACATCCTGGGGAAAAGCCTGGTTTACTAAAGCATTCTCAGTCCTACCTGCTCTTTCTTACCAAGTGCTAGTTCATGTAACTCTAGCTCTAACAGGCTGTGGGGAATTGTGCCCTTTTAAAGGACTTAGGAGAGCTAGAGTCAAAGCTGGATTCGTATCCATCCCCTGCATACATTAGTCATCTGTATTTGGGCAAGTTATTTAGACCTGAGGACTCAGTTTCCTCATATACAGGATATCATGGTGTCTCCTTACAAGGTTATCCAAAAGATTAATTGAGTTAATATAGAGAAGTTTAAGAAATTAGAATATTAAGTGGGATAGTAAGATCTTAGTGGGTGTTAGCTGTGGCTATGATTTTTATTGAAGAAACAACCCAGGTACAACTTGGTACAACTTGTTCTAGATCTATTAGGTATCACTTTGTGACTGTGGACATACACAGCTCATTTATTCATATATAATAGTAAAATACTGAGATTGGGAGATAGCTCAGTTGGTAAGTGCCTGTTGTGCAAGAAAGAAGACTTGAGTTCAACCCCCAGCACCCACTCACAAGTACACACTTGTAATCCCAGTAGTGAGAAGTGGTACAGCTTGTTCTAGATCTATTAGGTATCACTTTGTGACTGTGGACATACACAGCTCATTTATTCATATATAATAGTAAAATACTGAGATTGGGAGATAGCTCAGTTGGTAAGTGCCTGTTGTGCAAGAAAGAAGACTTGAGTTCAACCCCCAGCACCCACTCACAAGTACACACTTGTAATCCCAGTAGTGAGGAAAAAGAGGCAGGGTATCCCTGGAGCTTACTGGCCAGCCAGTGTAGCCTAATTGGCAAGACCTAGGTTCCAGTGAGAGACCCGGTCTCAAAAAATAAGGTGGGGCTGGAGAGATGGCTCAGTTAAGAGCACTGCTGTTCCTGTGGAGGATCCGAGTTCAGTTCCCAGCACCCACACAGTGGCTAACAACCATCTGTTGGAACTCCAGTTCCAAGAGATCTGATGCTCTCTTCTGGCCTGTATGGGCACTACATGATATCATTGCAACTACATTCATACATGCAAAACACTCATACATATAAAATAAAAATAGATTAATAAAACTGAAAAAGAATAAATACAGTGGGTGACTCCTGAGAAACAACCCAGAAGATGACCCCTGGCTTGCCCACACATGAGCACCCCTACACACACACACACACACACACACACACACACACGCACACACACACAATTTAAAAATAAAATAGAAATAAGGGCTGAAGGGATGGCTCAGCACTTAAGAGCACTGGCTGCTCTTGCAGAGGTCCTGAGTTAGCTCCCAGCACCCACATGGTGGTTCACAACCATCCATAACTCCAGTTCCAGGGGATCTGATGCTCTTTTCTGGCTTCTGCAGGCATTGCACACACAGGTGCACTTAGATACAGGCAAAACAGTCATGCACATAAAATAAAAATTAATTAATTAACATGTTAATTAATTAACAAGCCTGGTATGCTTGTCTCACAGAATTGCAGTGACGTTCAAATGAGCAGCTGCGAGGACTCTCTGTAAGGGTGGGAATGGCATCTCTGCTTGCCTGAACCTGTGCAATGGCATGTGCTTTGCACGATGGTGGCTTGTTTCCACCTGTCTCCTCCACAGGATTTGTCTCACTTTATTCTCTTACACTGTGATGTCTTGCTGGCTACCCACCCATGGTAGGTACTCACTGGGAAACTGAAAACGCATCGCTCTCCTTGTGGGCACATCTTTCTGGTGTGTGCTTTGGTAGTTTGATCTCCAGTGGACTATGCATACCAGGCCTATCGCCCTGCATCAGACACAGCTTCCCAGAGAGTGTGCCTGGGAGCAGCCTCTCAATGAGGTATCCACTCACACAACCAGTGCAGTGGGGACCACCCAGTCCTGCAGCTCCTGAGATGAGTCCTGCCCTCTGACCTTTCTGCCCAGCCAGCAGTGGTTCCAATCTTTGTGAGTCTCTGTATAAGTCTCCTTCCTATTGGCAAAGCCATAATTACCAGTTTAGTTGCCCTCTATTGTCCAAACTAGGGAAACTGAGAAACCAGACCTTGCCATTTTCCCTGACCTCAAGACCTTGTTTTCTTTCTTCACATCTTGAAATTATTCCAAATGGCAATCTGGGGGGTTGAGCCTCTGCTCCCACCTTGCACATCTTTTCTGAGGTGGGGGTCTCAGCTGATGCCATTTGCCTGATGGTATCACATATCTCCATATTGATCAAGACACCCACCTAATTCAGCAACCAGAGGTAGCTCTGAGCAAGTTCTTGGCAATTGGAGATAAAAAGGCCAAAATGAATAGACTGTAGGGAGACGAACTGCAGAGGAGGCGGGTGACTGACGTATGGCTGAAACTGGTGTGTTGCTTTTTTTTTTTAGTACCACTGGCTGCCTTCACATTTCCTGGTGGAAGTGGGACAGGTCAACAGATGACCCACAGTCACAGATAACTTTTGCCCACACATTATTTACTTTGGGGAGCAGTGGCTTGAAATTAAGGGGTGTGTACATGCCTCTGTGTGTGTGTGTGTGTGTGTGTGTGTGTGTGTGTGTGCGCACACATGTGCAAATGCATATTTACTTGCCTTCCACAAGCCTAAGAAGTCTGGGCTCTTTCTATGAATGTGTGATTACAACACAGAGGATGTGGCGGTGGACTTTTTCCTGTTTGATGTCACACCACTACCCTTTAAAAGTCCCAGGGAAAAAAGGAGGGAATCCAGCCTAGGATCCTCACGTCAGCTTCTTGCAAGAAAGAAGAGAGAAAGGCCAGAAAGGTCCAGCCAGAGTCTGGGAGTGTCAGATTTCAAACTCAGCATTAGCCACTCAGAGAGCAGTGCCATGTTGGGGGCCTACCTCAGACTCCTGATCTGTGCGCTGTGCAGTGCGTGGAGTGTGAACACCATCGTTGCCTACCCTGACACCTCACCACTGCTCAGCTCCAGCTGGGGCGGCCTGACTCACCTGTACACTGCCACAGCCAGAAACAGCTACCACCTGCAGATCCACAGGGATGGCCATGTGGATGGCACACCCCATCAAACCATCTACAGTGAGTATGGGCCTCTGGCTGGGAAGAGGGGCAGCTCTCTGTTGTCAACTTAGCAACAGGTTTGGAGGAGGACTTGGCCTAGACCAGAGGGCTAACATAGTCTCCTAGCTTCTTGCCAAATCATTCTCTATGTGTGTGTGTGCGTGTATGTGTGTGTTAAACATTAGGGGAAGATTCTGCCTCCTCCCTAATAACACTTACTGGTTTTCTCAACCTGAAAAAAGTTCCATCCTAATCTTCTTTCCATGAGAGGCAATTTTCTTTTCCTCTGTGCAAGCATAAGAAAAAAACTGGTAAACAGATATGGAGTCTAAGAGGAGAATAAGCCAGATAGAACCACAGACAATGAGTTTAGTTCATGAACTTTTCACAGGGGAGACTGAGAGGGAGATTCCAGCAACATTCCAGGATTTAGAATAGATGAATTAGGGAAATCTTTTTAACACTGAATTCCTAGTACTCTGGGTTTCTAAAATTTCTCAGGAGACATGTATTAATGACAGATCACCCAGGCATGTCGTCTTGTCAAATCTGGCCAAATGCATAACCCATCCATGCGTCATCCATTGCATCCATCCATGCATCTATCCAGCAGGTGTACTGGGTGCTGCAGAGGTGCCCTCTGTGAGTTGTTGGTTCTTCTCTGTGGGGCTGAACGGTGTTTAATTAGTAACAAATTGAACTAATTGTGAACTCACTAGTGACAGGAGGCAAGTGGAAATTTCTTATAGACTGGGTCTATGGGAAATTGAATCACAAACCATAATTATCAATCAGTTACATGTATTCAAATAATAGCCCCTTGAGCATCTAGGATAATGTTTCTGCATAAGAGACGCTGAAGGGACTGGAGAGATGGCTCAGCAGTTAAGAGTACTGGCTGCTCTTGTGGAGGACCCAGATTTGGTTCTCAGTACCCGCATGGAGGCTAAAAACTGTTCATTCATAAATCCAGTTCCAGGAGATCCAACACTCTCTTCTGGCCTCCGTGGGCATTACTCAATATGAGTACACCTACATACCTGCAGGTAAAACACTCATATACATAAAATAAAATAGATAAAATTTTTAATTAAAAAAAGAAGTTTTGATCCAGGTGTGGTGGTACAAGCCTTTAACCCTAGCACTCGGAAAACAGAGGCAAGTGGATCTCTGTGAGATCGAGGCCAGCCTGGTCTACATAGTGAGTTCTAGGACAGCTAGGGCTACAGGGAGACTCTGTTTCATAAAGACCCCCCAAAAAAGAATTTTTGATGGGAATTATGATTTCTTTTTTACTGTTGTGGTAAAGGAATCAGTTTTCTTGCTGTGGCCTTGCTGCATTCAAGGCATTTTTTTTCTGCTAGGAGCCAAAGTACCTCAAAACTAGCAGCCAGATACAAGCACAACCAAAGCCAACAGCTGAACATGTCCATGTGCTACACTGACAGGGGGTGGGAAGGGAAACAAGGCTCTCTTCAAATGCAAACATGCTCCAGAATTCACATGCATTAAGTACGACCAATTCTCTCGGAAGCCAGGTTTGAGCCTGACAGGGAAAATCTGAAGTAAATGTGGGAACACTTCATGTGTCCCCAATGCTGCCTGTTGTATTCTATGGACAATTACCAGGACCTACAATGTGTCTGGCACCACACAATGCTCTGTCACTGGAAAAGTGACCCAGTTCTTCACAGACCTCTGATCCCCCGGCATAGTATCAAACTTTAAGGAATAGAATTTTATTCCTTCTATGGAGAGCTGCCCTGACTTCCACCGCAGGATCACATGTAATTTCAAATGGAGGACAGGGGATGATGGTAGATTGTTTGGCTTCCTGTAGATTGGAAATTTGCTTTTAAAATGTTTTTAGAATCACAGAATCCCTTTGTTGAGAGGGACCCTCCCCACAGAGACTTGTCTTCCCAAGTAAGAAATCAGTCCAGAACAGTGCAAGCTGGCTGTGGGGGAAATGTGTAAGGTCAGTCTACTTGGCAAACAGTCTGAATGGCAAAACTTGACCTCAAAATCAGGGCTGGAGGAGGCCTGGAGTGAATGAAAATGACAGAGATGCAGTGAATGGATGGATGTGACTTCAACTTGTATGTGTGGTTTTGTCTTGAATAAGCACTGACTACGGAGAGGACCACTAACCTGGGGGAGCGGCACTTGGGATCCAGGTAGTGAGAGAGGTCATGAGAGCCCATGTTTCCCAGTCCATATATAATCTTTGGCATCGTTCAGTTAGTTATTGTGTGCATTTCCATAAGAAAGTCTTGCATGCATCTTTACAAAAGTACCAATATAATCTTCCTCCTAATTAATTATACATTTATAGTAGAGTCTGGTTATTTTGGTTAGTTTTTCTTTAGTAAATTCTTGGTTAAGAGTTGAGTGCTTGTGGCTGGAGAGATGACTCAGTGGTTAAGACTGACTATGGTCACTCACGTAGTAAATGACCTAGGGGTCAAGAAGACATCTGGCCACCTCTGCACTGAAGGAAACATCTATCGCATACTTGCTGAAACCTCAAAGGGAGGAGAATCCACCTGTCACATTTTCTAAACTTTCACACTGGCTAATGTTGGTTGATTCAAGAGCCTGAGTACACCCCTCTTCCCTCCTCCATAAGCTGCTCATATTCTCTGTAGTATGTTTTCCGTTGGGACTAGTCCTAGAGAGTGGGGGCCCATGTGGGCCAGACTCACTACCTGCTGTGCCCCTGAGCTTCAGGTGGCATGATATCAGGGTGTGGGGTTAGCACAAAGTACCCATGTCAAGTCAGCACGTCAGGTCTCTTTTGCAATCATCATCCCATTTGATGCTAATGGCAACCCCATTAAAAGCAGTCATGTGCTGCTGGGGAGAGTGGGCTATAGCAATGGTTTCCTACGGTGACAAGATTCAAAGGAGTAGAATTGGTACTGTAATCTAAGTCCCTGGTCCCTAGGTCCTGAGTCACTGTCTTTCTCCTGAACCCCGGTGGGCACAGAAACTTGGTGCACTTTCTCTGTTGGACATGACAAATACAGAGGAGGAAGATGTCCCTGACCTGAGTTTGAATCCTGCCTTGTCACTTAAAGATGCTCAACAACTACTAAAATGATTATGTAAATTGTAACAATGTAACAGTTGTTTTGCGAATTTAAAATATATAAAGTGCTTAAGAGGGCAACCACTCAAAACGGTTACAAAATGTAAGGTTTTTTTTTTTTTTTCAGTCAGACTGAAAAATCTTCAGGACAGACATTCTTATGTATTTCTTATACTTTTCTCAGAGCTCATGCAAAATCATATACATATACATATATATGTGACATATAAGCAGACATTATTTTGGAAGAATACCTCTGATGCCTTACCCTTTCTCAAGGATGATCCTCAGTCAAACTTTGAAGCAAAATAATTATCCTCTTTGGTCCTCCTCTGGGCTTCTATTTGCCTTTGCTCCCTCTGTCCCACATCATTCCAACTTTAGTCTGTATCAGGCTCTGTCTACAGATGGTGTCTAACCTTTGCTTGTTTTTTCCCCTTGAAGATCATGAATTGAGGCTTCACTGGGTAGGTGAGAGGCTTTGAGCTTCAAGTCATCTTAAGAGGCTCTACTATACATGAAACACAAACTTGGGCATTTACAATCTTTGATTTAAGTAAATTATTTTTAATAAAAAATGTCAAGTTTGGGGCAGAAATCTCACTGAATTAGCATTCTTATCTTAGATCACAATGTAGCTTAATCTTACCTTTACCACAAAACAGATTGCTCAGCTAGCCATGGTGGCACATGCCTTTAATCCCAACACTTGGGAGCTAGAGACAGGTGGCTCTTTGTGAGATCAAGGCCAGCCTGGTCTCCATAGTGAGTTCCAGATCAACTGGGGCTACAGAGACACCCTGTCTCAAAAAGACCTAAACAAAAACAAAACCAAAAAAATATAGAATGTCCATTTAAAGGCGTTAACCATGGGGCTGGAGAGATTGTTCAGCAGTTAAGAGCACTGGCTGCTTTTGCAGAGGACCTGAGTTCATTTCTCAGCACACACATGGCAGCTAACAGCAATCCGTAACTCCAGTTCTAGGGGATCCAATGCCTTCTGGCCTCTTCAGGCATTGCGCAACACATAGTGCGTTCCAGGGCAGCTGAAACTACAGGGAGACCCTGCCTCAAAAAAGAGAGCAGGGGCTGGAGAGATGGTTCAGTGGTTAAGAGTACATACTGCTCTTCCAGAGGCCCTGAGTTCGATTCTCAGCACCTCCATCAGGCAGCTCACAGCAGCCTGTAACTTGAACACTGCACTCATGTGCACAAAACGAAAAGAAAAAATAACTAAAATAAAGTGTTAACCATTATAAAAGGTGTCAATGATGTGCATTAGCTTCAGGCTCTTTGTAAATTTAATGTATGAATGTATCATCTGCATGTATGTATGTGCACCCATGTTGTACAATGCCCAAGGAGGTCAGAAGAGGGCGTTGGATCCCTTGGAACTGGAGTTGTGGACCCTTGTTAGCCTCCATGTAGGTGCTGGGATTTTAACCAGGGTCTTCTGCAAGAACAACCAGTGCTCTTAACCACTGAGCCATCTCTCCAGCCCCTAAGACACATCTTTAACAGGGGCTTTTGAAAGACTGCGGAATTACTCTGAGCATACAGGTTGGGACACATAGAAGGTAGAGAACCAGAGCTGGGTGTGGTAGCACACGCCTGTAATCCCAGGACTCGGGAGGCAGAGGCAGGAGGATCCCTGTGAGTTCAAGGTCAGCCTGGTCTAAGAGTTCCAGGCCAGCTGGGGCTATAGGGAGACCCTGTTTCAAAAAGACCAAAAGAAGGAGGATGAGGAGGAGGAGGAGGAGGAGGAGGAGGGAGGAAGAGAACCACAGTCTACACAAGTTGGATCCTGGGGTAACATCTTGGCATAAACTTAAAATCATAGAAGTCTTGGAAGGACACAGTCAGCACCTTGAACAATAAGAGGTATTAGTCAGACAAAGAGGGAATAAACTCCAAGTGTAGAGAGACAAAAATATGTGTGCTGCATAGATGCAGGAATATCGGGAGTTCGGAGTACCCATGCAGGCAGGAGGATGAATTAGGAGGTACATAAGCATTCATGTTGGGGTTCAGAGTCACGGGGAAGGAGGAGGAACAAGTAGAAACGGGTTATTTCGTGGTGCCATCCCCAACAGAGAAGGGTCTTAAAGGTGTGTTTCCAGGAAGTGCTTTAAGGAGGGAACAGCGTGTGCAATGAGTCTTTGACCCGAATGCTTTTCTTGCAGGTGCCTTGATGATCAGGTCAGAGGATGCAGGCTTCGTGGTTATAACAGGTGTGATGAGCCGGAGGTTCCTCTGCATGGATTTCAGAGGCAACATTTTCGGATCAGTGAGTTTCTTTCTGTGCTTGTCTGTGAAGTTGTTTCTGTGAAGGATGTGTAATGCCTGCATATAGGTAGGTGCACCCATGTCATGCAGTGCCCATGGAGGTCAGAAGAGGGCCTTGGATTCCCTAGAACTGGAGTTACAAGCCGGTGTTAGCTGCCATGTGGATGCTGGGAATCGAACCCGGGCCCTCTGCAAAGAGCAGCCAGTGCTCTTAACCACTGAGCCATCTCTCCAGCCCCATGACTTCATTTCTTGACAGAGCACAGATGTTTCTAGATTTCAATGTTTCATTTACAGTGTCCCTTGGGGATGTACTATCACTAAGTAATTTATTTGGTTTCAGTAGGAAATGCTCAGGTTTGGACTGCTGGGGTCTGAACCAGGGGATCCGAATGTGTTGCCCAGACTACGCTGTACCCATTTTTACATATAGCACAGACCCTGTTATGTAGCTGTACGTTCTCGAGCCATGTAAATTCAGGCTGTACTATCCATTAGAAAGGGTGAGAGGTCCTGAGTGTCTTCCCAATTTTGTTATCACTTGGGACCTGGGTAAGTCCTCTCACTTCTCCCAATTAAAGACTTCAAATTAATGATCTGTGCCCTCTGGGTGATGGCTGGTCCTTCAGATGGGTTAGTTAAGATTTTCCTAAACTAAAAGACTGCTGTATAGTCCCATAGATTTTGAGACAGTATAACAGAGGACTGATTAATTTGGGAGTCTCTTACCAAAGTCTACTACACATTCCTCGGAAGTAGCTTTCTGTTGTATGACTGCTGTGTTTGTCTCAGCACCTACAATACCATCTGACCAGAGGAGTACATAAATACTAAGCCCACATGTAGCCTTCACCTGTAGGATTTTTACTTTGTGCAGTCTGGATACTAAATGTAGTCCATAAAGGTTCTTATAGACATGAAATAAAACTCAGTACCAGCGGGAGAATGAGTATTTGAACCCAGCTCATCTGTCTGCAAGTTGAAACTATATTCTCTCTTTGATGTCAATACCCTCACAAGTTTGTACAGGCAGTTGGACCTTACAAATTCCATCCCAGTTCCTGTCTCTAGGCAGATATACCTAAACCACCTTCCAGCCAGAATAAAACTAAAAAGTTGTACAAGCTGGGCCTGGTGGCACAAGCTTGCAAATCCCAGCTACCACAGAGGCTGAGGCAGGAGGATTCTAAGTTCAAGGCCTCCCCGGGCTATACAGCAGAGTTCAAGACAAACCTGGGCAACTTAGTGAGACCTTGTCTTACTAGGTCAGGGGGAGAGCACTTGCCTAGCATGTGTGAGGCTCTAGTCAATCTGCAAGAAGTCGAGAGATAAAGAGAGAGACAGAGACAGAGAGGTATGAGGGAGTCTCTTTCTGGGCCTACAAGCTGGGTGCCAGCACCCAGCCAGGATCCTCCAGGCAGTGCCCTCTAAGGCCCAAATGGCTTTCACTTTCTGGAAGCTAGAGTCAAAGACCAAATTCTGTGCTTCCAAAAAAGCATTCAAATCCACGGTTTTCCTAGAAGGAAAGCGAATTGAACAGCACCCCCTAGCGCTAGAAGGAAAGCGAATTGAACAGCACCCCCTAGCGGAGTTTCAGGCAGCCAAGTCCCAGGTGAAGGTCCCGAAGGGTCCCTGCAGGATCCCCGATTCCCGCGGCCCTCACCTCCCCTCGCTTCCCTTCCAGCATCACTTCAGCCCCGAGAACTGCAGGTTCCTCCAGCGGACGCTGGAGAACGGCTACGACGTCTACCTGTCCCCGCAGCACCACTTCCTAGTGAGCCTGGGCCGAGCCAAGAGGGCGTTCCTGCCAGGTACCAACCCGCCGCCCTTCTCGCAGTTCCTGTCGCGCAGAAACGAGATCCCGCTGCTGCACTTCCACACCCCGCGGCCGCGGAGACACACGCGCAGCGCGGAGGACGAGCCCGAGCGCGACCCACTCAAAGTGCTCAAGCCGCGGCCCCGCGCCACTCCCGCGCCCGCATCCTGCTCGCAGGAGCTGCCGAGCGCCGAGGACGGCGGCCCAGCGGCCAGCGACCCCCTGGGGGTGCTGCGGGGCCGGGTGAACCCGCACGCGGGAGCCGGGGGAGCGCATCGCTGCCGTCCCTTCCCCAGGTTCATCTAGGGAAACCCAGCCTCGGTCCTTCAGGCCGTTCAGTCATCCTCAAAGGCCAGAGGGTGGGGTGGCCTGGGGACCCCCACTTCTCTCCCCTTCCGGTCCCCAGCTTCGCCCTGAGAGTCACATGTGAGGCCCTAGACAGACACCACCATTCCTAATAAGACCCCAACAGGGCTAGACACTTGCCCTCCCCATCTTCTTACCCCATCATCCATCCATCGTACATTTAGCATTGAGAAACAGCAAAGGGCCAGGCGTGGTGGCGCGCGCCTTTAATCCCAGGCAGAGACCCGTATAACTATGTGAGTTCGAGGCCAGCCTGGTCTACATAGCAACTTCCAGGTCACTTAAAGAAAAAGAAAGAAAAGAAAACAGCAATGGCTCAGCGGGTTCACACCCTGGACACAGGGAAGAGGCTTTCCCTGCAGCCTCACCAAGCTTGGCCCAAATGGCCTCACAGGGCAGGCCAATGAAAACACCGATTTCAAACTTGTTCTGCTGAAAGCATCCCAGAGCTTTCGAAATAGATGGGCGGTGGGGTGGCCAGAAAAGAACACGAGGTAAATCCAAACGGGGTTCCTTCTGGGACTCTTTCTAGAAAGCGCAACCTCCTTGCAGAGTGGGCACTCTGTGCCAGATTCAGAGTCAAGACTGACCCTGCGCTGTTTCCACTTGGCTGCTGTCAGACGGACCCTTTCGGCCCTGGCTTTCTGAACTTGTCCTTACTGGGGGAAAAATCTGCCTTGCTTAAATGTGTGCAAAATGCAAATGCATGAACTCTCCCCAAAGAGGCATTTTTAATTAAGCCTCTTCTCGCAGGTTAGTAGTTATACTTTCTGGGTGAATTGTGAAAATGTGGCTTGGGAGGGGTCCTTGAGACCCTGGGGATGCTCTGGGCTAGGTTTTCTGTGTACAGAAAAAGCACTTCCTTTCCCCACCCCACCCCCTAGTGAAATGAAAGCAAGGACTCATGGGAAAAGAAACCAGTTTCCAGCGGACCAAGCTGCGGGACAGTGACTATAGCATTAAAGAGCTCTTGGGCCTCGATCTGCATGGAAACTCTTGGGGTATTAAAGAAACATTTTCAGTCCCAGAAACTGGGCCATCCTGGGGCAACCGAGGCCTCAGCATGAACAAACTGCAAGCAAGTGTTAGGCAGGGTCTTAGGCTTAACCCGTGACAGTCTTTCAACCCAGATCACCCTTTTCTACCTCTACTTAAATGATCACCTAAAGTGCAGAATACTTGCAAGTGAGTCAATTCAGACAGCTTTTTGTTTTTCACTGTCATGTACACAGACTAAGAAATGGATCCATTCTTTAGTTTATCAGAGAATATGGGACAACTGTTCGCACCTGATGGTTTTACTAGCTCCGACTTCTCCGAAATACTCAAACTATACGTAGCAGTAGATACCCACACACTGCAAATATTTTCTTTACTGATTTTCATTTCCTGTTGGGGATATTATTTTGTACAGTAGCTGCTGGAGACAACTACATGAAAAAAGGGAAAAAAAATCCCCAAAGAACTTTGGTAGCAAACTGGTTGTAAACTCACAAGATCAACACCACCATCTGGGGCTTTCTTTCTGTGGAGCCAAGATGAACCCTGTATCTTAAGTCCTTTAGCATGTGGCAATATTTATTTATTTATTTGGAAGATTTTGCCCGTCACTCTATATTTATGGATATTTATAAAATGCAATCCCACAGTTTTCCTTCTGTTTAAAATAAAAATAAAGTTTATCTCAGCTTCTGTTTCTTTTCTTTTTAAATTTATTTTTATTTTACATGTATGTGTGCTTTGCCTGCATGTATGTAAATGCACCCATGTGTGCAATGCCCACAGAGGTCAGGCTGGGAAGTTAAAATAGGAAGAGGCTAAGGCCCACTAGTCTTGGCAAGGGCACATCCTTGATGATGTAAGGTCATCTCACTAAGTTCCCTATCTTAAAGTTCCCACTACCTCCCACTAGCACCACAGAGGCCAGAAGGAGTCAGATCCCCTGGAACTGGAGTTATAGACAGTTGTTAGTCACTATGTGGGTGCTGGGAACTGAACCCAGGTCCTCTTCAAGAGCAGCCACTGCTCTTAACTGCTGAGCCTTTTCTCTAGCATCACCAGCTTGTGTTTCTTAGCCTCTGTATTATTACATAAATAAATGTTGAGATGTAAAACTAAAAGAGATTGTGTAAAAGAGGCATTTGGAAAATCAGAAGAAAACAATTGGAAAAGGACCAAAGAATTTTTAAATAGTCAAAGTTTTTTTCCATTTATAAGCAGATTCAACAAACAATTTAATTGATGTACACAGACTGAAAAAATGAAATTGCATCAATATTGGGTTTCTGATTATCTAAGTGATTCCTTGAAAGAGATAATTTTTTATTTGAAAGATATACCAGCATAAATACATTGAAATCTCAGTTAACCAGATATTATATTGTGTTGGTCAGTTTTCTATCACTATAACAAATACCTGGAAAAAATCAATTTATAAATATAAAAGGTTTTAGTGACACTTTTGAGATTCTGGCCTATGACCCAGAGCTAACCTCTTTCAGGTCTCTGGTAGGTAAGCAGCACATTGTGGGCACCTGTGGCAGAGCAAAACTACTCAATTCCAGGCTGGGAAGTTAAAGTGGGGAAGAGGCTAAGGCTCACTAGTCTTGGCAAGGGCACATCCTCAGTGATGTAAGGTCATCTCACTAAGTTCCCTGTCTTAAAGTTCCCACTACCTCCCACTAGCACCACAGGCTGGGGACCAAGCCTTCACTACATGGTTGGTGAGGGGGAGTATTTAAGATCTAAACTGCAGCATATGTAATTAACACATACAGTGTTGAATATGATGTGAGATGTGACAGCGGGATCCAAGATAATTTGTGTCTTTTTGTTCTGACGTTGCTGTTCCCAAAATTCCTTTTTTAGTTTCCATCTGGCTACCCTACCAAATCCCAGGAAGTAAAGAAACTTAACATATGCATCTTTCTCACACCATCCCTCAAGCCTGTAGATCACTTTTATTACCTGTGAAAAGCCATCAGCTTTTCCTTTGAATAACTACAGGAAAATAGCTTACTGTAGGATGGGCTGTTTTGATTGGTATTCAGATTACTTGACAAAATCTACCAGTGGAATTTTCTTCTGTTGATGTCCCTTTTAAGACTTTGAGTGCCATTCTTTTCTACACTGCAGAGAAGGGTAGGAAACAGAAGCATAGGGCAAGATGCTGTCCATCTTTGGTCATGTGAAACAGACTTGTCAGGCAGGTGAACGCTGTTTCAAAATTTCTCTCCAGATTGTTTTGGGAGGCATGAGTTGGCCTCAGCTCAAATTCATTCCTCTACAGTGTTTTAGAAATAAAAACCCAACGAGGTAGGTAAGATTAGTTTTGTTCCTGGCTCGCAGGACCTGAACACCTTCAGAAAAGGAAGGGCAGCAGAGCAGTCCTACAGAGGACACAAGTCTTCATCCCTCAACAGAAAGAATGAAGTGGTGAAGAAAGGGGAAATGTGCTGTGGTATCTTCTCCCCTGAGCTGGAAGATTTCTTCCTTTTCCCATAAAAGTTCTCCCTGACTAAAGAGCGGAAAACTTAAGATTCCAACCCAAAACAACTGGTGAAATTAGGAGGGGGGCTAAGGGAAAAGCACAACTCTGACGGCGGCTGTGGCACCAAGTCACTGCGGGGCGTCTCCTCCCGCTCTGGCTGCTGATCTCGCTCACCACTGCTTCCCTGAGCACGCACTATTAAATCATTGGCCAGAGACCTGCCATGAATGCATATGCACTTCTGAGACCTCACCTTTATGTTGAAAATTACTTTAAGGGGGTTGGAGAGACAGTTCAGCAGTTAAGAGGGTGTGCTCTCTTCCAGAGGACCCAAGCTTGATTCCCAGCACCCACATGGGAAGCTCACAACTGACTGTAACTCCAGCTCAAGAGAATCCAACACTTCTGACCTCTGTGGGCACCAGCACTCACATGCACAACATGCCCCTACACAGACACAGACATACACAGACACAGACACAGACACACACACACACACACACACACACACACATAACTGAAAATAAAATCTTCAAAAATATACATTACATATAAATGCACCAATCACTACAAAAAAATGTAGGCACAGTCAAATCAGATTTTTTTAAAAAAAACCTAAATGTATTTTGTCTATAAAAGATGTACTGGAAGGCTGGAGAGATGGCTCAGTGGTTAAGAGTACTGACTGCTCTTGCAGAGGACCTGGGTTCAGTTCCTAGCACCTGCATGACACCTAACAACTGTCCATAGCTCTAGTTCCAGGGGATACAACACCTTCTTCTGGCCTCTTTGGGCTTAGCACACACATGGTGCACTTCCACACATGCAGGTAAAACACTCATACACATAAAATTAAAATAAATAAACAATTTTTGAAGACATGAAAAAAAGAATGGAAATATATCCAGAAGAAACAGCAAGCATTATAAAGATGGACTTACTATATTAACATCATTATTAATATGATTAATATCTATATAATGCATTTCAAGTCAGTGAATGTGGTTACAGATAATAGAAGCATTTCACAATGATTAAAGACCTGATTCATGGAAAGACATCAAAACCATACGTTTTTAGCTGGAGATGTAGCTCAGTGGTAAAGTACTTGCTTAGCATGCATAAGGCCTTGATTTTGAGCCACAGCACCACAAAAACGTAGAAAACATAAATGCTTAACTACCCTAAAGTCAAAGCAACAAAATATATAAAGTGGATGTGACTAAACTGAAGGGTAAAACAGACAAGTCCAAATGTCTTTGGAAAGGTCAACGCTCCTCTAGTGAGCAAGGAAACAGGTATTCAATACTGCCAATGAATTTCCTGTATTTGACATTGATAGGTAACTAAACAGGGACAGAACAGAATCACTTTCCAAGTACTAATGAAATGTCCATCAAAGTAGATCACATGTGAAGCCCCAAAACAAGTTCATATTCAGTCAGAAGTTCAAAATCTTGCCTGCCATTTAACTAGAGAGGAACAATGAGATAGACTTGGAACATCCTCAAATATTCTGAGATAAATAACTCATAAGTAATACACAAATCAAGCAGAAAATCAGAATTAAAACTGGGCACGCACCACCACACCTGGCATCTGTTTTTTTAAAAAATACCTTGTTTTGCTCTCCTAGCCTGCTCTCCTACCCTCAGGCCTCTCCTGGGGTAAGTCTATCGTAAAGCCCTCTGCGCCTTGACTCCCCCAGCCTCATTCACCCTTCCATCTCCCCCGCTGTTCTCTACTCCTAGTTTGGGCCCTGCGCCATTCCTAGTCTTGGGTCCCCAGACACCTGGGGAACCAATACTACTTCCTGCACCTTTTCACCCAGACCAACTTAGTGCCTTCCTTGGGCCCCAGGAGCACTGCTTCTGGACCTGGCCCCGCCCTCACCTCTCTCTGCTTCCCGGGACCTGCACCACTGGCTAACTCTGCTAACCTGCTCTCCTATCCTCAGGCCTCTTGGGCCAAGTCTATCGCGAAGCCCTCTGTGCCTTGACTCCCCCAGCCTCATTCACCCTTCCATCTCCCC